GGGGGTCGGGTTGTAGGCCTGGGGTTGAGCTTGGTGGTGGGTTCTGGGGCAGGGCTACTCGCTGTGGGGTGAGGAGTGAGTTGGAAAGGCTGGGGGGCTGGGCCGCGGCCCCCAGGGTGTCTGTCTCCGGGTGTTCCCTCCGCGTAACGGCCTTGTTCCGTGGCTGTGTTTTGGTCACTCTGCGGCCGGGGTTGGCTCGGCTGAGGGAGGGCAAGCTTGTGCTGGAGCTGGAAAAGAGTCAGTAAGAGCCGTGATCGCTGTTAGGAGCGAGTGGCCCTCGGTTATCCGCGAGGATGGGCCGTTAAAGGGCAGTTCTCGTTTGACACCTGTGGCGCGTGTTCCCCTATCCCAGATGTTAACGCGAATCCCTCTTTAACGTCACTTTAAACCTCCCTGCAATGTGACTGAACCAGTAACCCGGAGAAAGCAGACCTGTGGCTATTCTGCGTTTTGCTGAAGGACAAGAAACCATTCAGTGTGCTCTTTGGAAGCCTGATAGCTCATCTGCAAACTTGCTCTGAAATAAAGGAGTGCCAGGAGATTAATTAATAGTTCAAAGTGTTGAAATAAGCTTATGGATTTCCTAGGGAAATGCTACTTGTTTTTCTTAAAGCTGTACTGAATTAGGTCACCTCTTCAGGCCTGTTACAGCGCTTTCCAAAGCTGTGTTGTCATTGTGGAAGTCCAGAGGGTTTACTAACAAGGGATGGGCAGGTCCAGCACAGGTGCAAGATGTTAGTCCTGATTAAAGGTGTGAACTATTTAAAAGTTTATATTTGAACTATAAGGCCTTTCACTTTTTTTTTTTTTTTTGTCAATTACAGAAAAGATTCAGCTCCTCGGTCTGAAAGAGTTTTGGAAGTGAAGAAGGAAAACAAAAAGAACACTGTTATGTCTGCTGCTAAGGAAGATGTTTGTAACCACGTGAAAGTGGTGGTCCGTGTCCGTCCAGAGTCTCAAAAGGAAAAAGATGGCAACTTTAAGAAGGTTGTTCATGTTCTTGACCAGCATATATTGGTCTTTGATCCAAAGGAGGAGGAAGTTACCCTCTTTCACGGGAAGAGACTGACCCACAGGGATATTACCAAAAGACAACAGAAAGATCTTAAATTTGTGTTTGATGCTGTTTTTTCTGAAAGTTCATCCCAGTTGGAAGTTTTTGAGCATACTACCAAGACTGTAATTGACAGCTTCTTAAATGGATATAACTGCACAGGTAACTTTGCTATTTACCTTCTTCAATTCAAAAATTTCAGTAAATTCTTCAACTGCTGCAGAGGCCTTAGAAAGGCTGAGATGTAAATAAAGCATTTTGGTTTAATTTAGATATGAGAGGCTGACTTTTTAGCCTACGGAAGTTAGCATAACTCTATTCTGAAAATTAGTTCATGTTAAGGTTATAATAGACTTCAGAATTTTAGCTGAAATATACATGCTTATGAGGGGAGTTCTCTGGAAAGAGTTACTCAACCAGAAGCAGTTGTTTCGGCAAGTGTGTGTAGCTTGCTTTGTGAACTCTCTTTAAGAACTTGGTTTATTAATTGTCAAATGGAACATGGTGAGGAAATGAAATACCTACGTGCGCTAGGTTGATGGCTTAGGGTTATGAGAGTAAGAAAATATTTTCATGTAAATTGCCAATGAATGTATTTTGAACTGAAAATGTGAAAGTAAATGAGGTTTTGAAATAGCTTTCTGATTATAGCTGTAAAAAGTAAAGCCTAAGTAAGAAACTTGATCAGTCTATGAAAACAGCTGTGCAGAATGATAGTAGTGTGTGAATGTCCATTTGACTTTGGTGTTCCTGGTTAGCTTACTGGTATAAAGCCCATCTTTTTGTTTTGTTTTTGTTAAAATTTAGTGCTTGCATATGGTGCAACAGGAGCTGGGAAAACCCATACAATGTTAGGTTCCTCTGAAGATCCTGGAGTGATGTATTTAACCATGATGGCACTTTATAATAGTATGGATCAAATAAAAGAAGATAAAATATGCAATGTTGCTGTCTCTTATTTGGAGGTGAGTTGCTGCATTTGGTATGTTGTTTTTAATAAGGCATATTTTAATAAATAAAGACAAGCTGGTTTTGCCTCCTCCTGGCACTTTCTGGGACTTTAAAAATGTCTCCTTGATAAGAGTGGAACTGAACTGTGCTCCAGAAATTTGTTGTTATTCATGGGCACCTGTTACAATTATAGAAAAGCCTGCCCAAAAAAGACAATCTCTTCTAATATATTCACTAACCATTTTAATAACTTCTGTCTTGTTAACCAGTTGCATCCCTCTGAACATCCAATGATGTGTAAAAGAAAATATATTTTCAGGGTTATGTTTCAGGACGTCACAATAAAATTTTATAAGCACTGTGAAATAACACAACAAAGTGATATCTAATCCCTTTTCTATGATTTTTTTAAAAGTTTTTTGTTTATTTTATTTGTCTGAGGTACAGTACAGTACTTGAATTAGAGCTGTTGTGCTAATGGTTAGCTCTTTACAAATACTCCTTTTGTTGTCACTTTCTCTTCTCTTCAACTTTTTTGCATCTCTCTTCTGTTTTTACAAGTAGTTGTCTGGGTGCTGCTGTCAAGCAGTAGTAGTAAAATTGTTACCTTCTAGCCCCCTTAAAGCCTCAATGGAAGAATAGTTAGTACTTAAGGAGGAGAAGGAAGAGGGAAAAGTTTGTTTTTCCATGTGCTATTTCAGGTGCTTCCACAGACCATGAAATAAGGTATTTACGAATTTTAACAGAATTACGTTTGAATTAAGAACTCTCTCTGAAGTATGGATTATGAAGTGTAGTAGAGGACAATGAGTGCTTTGGACTCATGCTTGCAGCAAAAGTGGTTTTTTTGTAAAAAAAGTAAACTTATTTTAAATAGTAAATAAGGACTGTTTTCTGGGAAGGAGTGACTGCGATTTCAATGTCTAAAAAAAATCCTCAAATTGAATTAATTGAGTATTTCAAGCTCAAAATAGGAAAGCTGTTTGGCAACAATTCTACAGAATGAATTTGTTACTTTGTCTTTAAGAAATTTTAAAAAAAGACAGTGAGGATTTCTGTTTGGTTAAGTTTAACCCTGTTAAATATATTAGGACAGTTTTAATAAAAGATTTTAAATTCCATTTCAAAGGTCTACAATGAACAGATCCATGATCTGCTGGTAAACTCGGGACCTCTGGCTGTTCGTGAAGATAACCAGAAAGGGGTGGTAGTTCAAGGGCTAACATTACATCAGGTACGTAAACAGACATTGAAATTCAGGAAGCCTTGCAGTGTGTTTGAGAAAATTATAAAGTTCCCATTGATCTGTGAAAGCTGGATACAATTTGGCAATTTCCTAGTGGGGTTTTTTTCTGGTCATGATCACCAGTACCTTAGTAACTTGCAAACCTAATTAGTTAATTATTCAAAAGCATGTTGTGGAAAAAACTGGTAATGTTCTTGAATATAAATGTATAAAAGAATTCAGTCTTTATTATCGAAAGGGTACCAATGGTTTGATGCTCACAGAATCACAGAATGTTAGA